GGACAGGCTGGGGCCCCCGAGGTCCTTACGTGGGTGTCACAGACAGGCTCAGAGCCAGGCAGGGACATTGTGTCCCGCCTCCCAGGAGGCCCAGCCAGCCGGGCCTGGATGCCCAGCCCTGGGAGGGGAGGGAGGATGGCCCTCCAGCCTGCTGGGGGAAGTGGGGGTCAGGGAGGGTGCTGTCTCAGGGCCTGCTGAAATGACCATCATCACCAGCCCCCAGCCAGCCCGTTGTCATCGTCCCAGCCGTGCCAAGGCATGGGCAGGGTGCTGGCTCCGAGCCAGACTGGTACGCTTGCCTTCACAGGCTGCTCCCCGTTCTAGCAGGCAGGTCTGGAACAGGGTTTGTCTGGGGGGACCGAGTGCCAGCTGGGGTCCCAGAAGTGCAAAGAAGCGAGGGGCAGAGTCCAGACAGGCACTCTGGCCTCCCCCTGGAACTATTTCTCCCTCCCAATTAAATTGACTTCTGTCACCGAAAATTTGGGTGTTTTTTTGGCTAACTGCACTGCTCTCCAGGTAAATGAGGTCATTCCATGGAGTTTCTTGTCATTGTGGCCTCTTCCTTTTTGGTAATCATGGGTGGTGGGCATGGTGCTGGGTATTACGGGGTAGGGCCCGGGGTCCAATCCAAGGCCCCGCACAGGCCAAGATTCAAGCCACACCCCAGCCACCCCTACCGTGATTCCCCTCCTGGGGATGGTGTCCAGGTTAACCCCTGGTGCTCCGTGTGCTGGTCGTTAGCCCCTTCCCCCCTTTTCTTTGCTTGGGGGTATTCCATTGGGGAAAGTCCCACAACTCATCCCTCATCCTACTGATGGACATTTAGCTTGTTTCCAGGCTTGGACAGTCACGATCAGTGGCGTTGCAGTAGGTGCCCTTGTCCCTGGACCGTGGCGGAAATGCTAGGCACTCCTCTGAGTGTGTGTTGACGAGTGGAGTGTCAGGACTCATCTCAGACTCCCCGTGCTGGGGGGTGGCTATTACTGGCTTTCTGTTCCTGCCCCGAACACTCCTCACCCGCTCTGCCCGTTGGTGTTGTGGTTGTGGCCAGGATTTTCGTTCGTGGTTTTTTTGTTTGTGGTTATTGATATGACTATGAACATCCTTATAGGGTGCCCATTTGTTCAGGTTTCTCTCAAGCGTGGACAATTAGCTGAAGATGTTGTTTGTTTTTGTTTGGGGTCACACCCAGCGATGTTCAGGGGTTACTCCTGGCTCTGTACTCAGGAATTACTCCTGGCGGTGCTCAGGGGACCCTATGGGATGTCGGGGACCGACCCTGCGTGCAAAGCAAGCGCCTTACTCACTGTACTCTCTCTCCATTCCCGAAGAGGTGTTGTGAAGGCCTGCTGCTGGCCTTTTCCTAAACGCCCACACAGAGGACCTCTGCTCCGTGTTCTGATCCCCGTTGCCTAGTCTTCCCTGATTCCGTCCTTCCAGCTCCCAGGATGGTCTCCCCCGGGTGGAGCTGGGCCAGCCTACTGGCTGGGGCCACGCCTGCTCCTCCGCTGCGGGTGGCTTCACCCCTGCACCGTGACCTGAGCTGCAGCAGTTCCTCCGACTGAGGGGCTGCATTCTGCCCAGCGCCTCTCCCAGGAGCCCCCCTGCCCCCAGGAGAGGCGCGAGCAGTTCAGGTTCACGCCTCACTCTGGCGTCCGTTCACTTGATAGCAGCAATCAGCAGTTCTCAGAGAGAAGGACCGAGAGAGCCTGGGAGCCATCCCCATTTTTCCCTTTTTATTAAAAGTCTCTTCCATTTGCACTCTGGTCCTTTGACGCCCGGCCTCGCTTTACGAGGCCGCGTCTGTTAGCCTGCACAGGGTCCCCGGCTGCCTGCACACGCGGAATGTGAATGGGAGGCCAAGGGCTTGGCGGGAGGGAGTGAACGCGGGAGAAATTGACCTTTGCTGATAGAGTTATCCTTCTTATACACAAGTTACCAATTCCCGGTGCTGAGGACGATGCATTTATCTCCCCTCTTTGTAAATGATTTAGGAAGGGTGTGTGTGTGTGTGTGTACAGAATATAGATTTTAGGACATTTCACTTTTTTTTATATCTTTCTCTTTTTAATTGAACCACCCTGAATCACAAGTTACAAAGACATTTATGATTTTTCCTGCGTGCAGTATTCCCACACTGACCCTGTCACCACTGTGGGACATTTCACTTGTCTTCTGTTCTTTCTCCGTCTTTTCTATCAACTAACCTTAACCAGCACTAGAAGTAAAAAACCCTGAATGGAGCCGGGTTGTGGCCCTGCTGGTAGAGCCTGGCCAGCCTGTGCAGTGCCCCCGAGTGTGAGCCTGGGCCCCATGTGCCGCCCCAGGTACCACTGGACGGAGCCTGGTGGCCCCCAGCAAACTGCTGGAGGTTACCCTGGACCCCAAGCTCAGCCGGGAATATTCCCTACCCCCATGAAACCAGGAAGCTGCAGAACATGCCATGTGGGCTGGGATGTGTGTGCTAGTCACGAAACACAATTCCGGGACTCATGCACCCCTGAGTCCTGGGGTTGGGGGGGTAAGGGGTACGCAGCGCATCCAGCTGGAGTCCGGGCTTTGGGACTGAGGCCGGGAGCCGGGGGTTGGGGGGAGGAGTCTCGGGTGCTCCCAA